TTCATGCCTGCCCTGCCAGTCTATCAGATGAACTGCCCCAGTCTTCAATTAGAGTCATAGAGTCCTACAGCACAGTGACAGATCTTTCGGCCCAAACTGGTCCATGCCAACCAAAATGTCCATCCATGCTAACCCCATTTCCCTGCACTTGGTCCTTATCCTTCTAAACCTTTCCTGTCCATGTATTCACCCAAATGCCTTTTAAATATTGTTCATATTCCCTCCTCAACCACTTCTACTGGCAGCTCATTCCATATGCGTACCAAGCTCTGTGTAAAAAAGGTGCCTCTCAGTTACCATGTATTCTTTCCCCTCTTACCTTAAGCTGATGCCCTCTAGCCCTCAATTGCCCAACCCTGGGAAAAAGACTGACTGCATTCACCCTATCCATGCGTCTCATGATCTTACACACTTCTACAAGATCCCCCTTCAGTCTCCTACACTCATGTCATAGCTTGTCCAACCTCTCCCTATAACTCAGTCCCTTGAGTCCTGGCAACATGTAAATTTCTTCTGCACTCTTTCCAGTTTAGTAACATCCTTCCTATAGTAAGGTGACCAAAACTGAACACAATACTCCAAGTGCAGCCTCACCAACGTCCTGTACAACTGCACCATAACTTCCCAACTTCTATACTCATTGCCCTGACTGATGAAGGCCAGTGTGCCAAAAGCCTTCTTCACTGCCCTGTCCACCTGTCACTCCACTTTCAGAGAACTGAGCACCTGAACTCCAAGGTCCCTCTGTTCCACTACACTCTTTAAGGCTCTAAAATTCATCATGAAACTCTACCTTGATTTGACTTTCCAAAAAGCAACACTTCACACATCTATATTAATCTCCATTTACCATTTCTCGGCCTACTTACCCAGCTGATCAAAATCCTGCTTCAATTTCTGATAACCTGGCACATTAAGCTGCCAGTCTTGTCCCTCCTTTAGCCGTCTTTCTGTAATGGCTATAATATCCCAGCCCCACATGCCAATCTACGCCGAGTTCATCGGCCTTACCTGTCAGCCCTAAAAGAGATGCAATGTAATCTAACCGGCATTTCTCGCTCCCTTTCTTGTTCCAGCCTGATCTGTCTCTTCAACTTGCTATTTCTGATTTTTGTATCTCCTTTTAGTCTTGCACTTGCGTCCCTGCTGTTGAGGATCTCTCTCCCCTTGCCAATCTAGTTTAAACCCTCCCCTGCAGCGCTAGCAAATTTGCCTGCCAGGATATTGGTCTCCCTCCAGTTCAGGTGCAATCTGTCCGTCTTGAACAGGTCACCTCAACCCCAGAAATGATCCCAATGATCCAGGTCCTCTGCACCAATTCTTTAGCCATGCATTCATCTGCTATTTCCTCCTAATCTTACCCTCATCTTTCAAGCCAGCTTCTGAGAGCCCCTCAACTCCCAAATATTTCAATAAATCTAGCTGCCTCCTCTCTGAATATATTCAGTGACATAGCCTCCGCAACTCTCTGGGGCACAGAATTCCAAACATTCATTCCTCTCTTGGAGAAAAAAATTCCTTCACATCTCAGTTGTAAAGTGAGTGTCTCCTCAATAGAATCCCAACAGTGTGGAAGCAGGCCATTTGGCCCATCAGGTCCACACTGGCCCATCCCCCTAACTCTGCATTTCCTGTGGCTAACCCACCTAGCCTACACACTATGGGGCAATTTAGCATAGCCAATCCACCTAACCTGCACATCTTTGGACTACAGGAGGAAACCAGCACTAAGAGAAACACACACAGTTGCCTGAGGTTAGAATTGAACCCAGGTCCCTGGTGCTCTAAGGCACCAGTGCTAACCAGTGAACCACCCCATTCTGTAACTATATCCCCAGGTTCGAGATTTGCCTGATACTGGAAACAGTGTCTCAACATCCACCCTGTCAAACCCCTGCAGAATCTTGTATGTTTCAGTAAGATCACCCCTCATTCTTCTAAGCTCTAATGGTTAAAGCTCCATACTGTTTATAGGTTAAGTCGACTCCTAAATCCCAGGAATTAGCTGAATTCTTTCTCCTTCATGTTGCATCTTGTAGCATCCTGGCCCTTGAGTTTCTGACCAGTTATCCTCTCACTCTGCTGTCTTGACCCCATGTCTATTTAACAGAGGCCATAAGACTGTAAGAAATAGGAACTGCAGTAGGCCATTCTGCCTCTTGAGTCTGCTCTGCTATTCAATAGAATCATGACTGATCTGACATTCCTCGCATCCACTTTCCTGGCCTTTCCCCGTAACCCTCAATTCCCCAACTGATCAAGAATCTATCTCTCTCAGCTTTAAGCATACACAAGCTCTGTGTGGCAAGGACTTCTGTGATCGAAGAAATGCCTTCTCATTTCAGTCCTAAATTGGTGCCCCTTTATTCTGAGACTATTCCCCCTGATCCAAGCTCTCTCATGAGGGGAAACATCCTCTCAGTATTTACCCTGTCAAGCCCCTTAAGAATCCGATATGTCCTAATGAGATCACCTCTCATTCTTCTAAACTCTATTAGGCTATTCCTTCTTCATTCCAATTTTGCATATGGTGACAATGTTCTCACTTTAAGGGTTATTTTGTCCTGGTTTTTGTTTTGAAGAGAGGTTGTGAGGCAGAGATGTGGAAATGGCTACTGAAGATGGCTTAAGTAAATAGCTTAGGAGGCCTTGGGCTTTTTCTTTCTTCCATCATCACAGTGGGGAGTGCTTACTGCATTGAATCAGGTATTAACCCTTAAAATTAAATGTTTTGGGGAAAAAAAAGGAGTGACACGGTCGCTCAGTGATTAGCACCTCTGCCTCACAGCATCAGGGGCTTAGGTTTGATTCCAGCCTCAGGCGACTGTCTATGTAGAGTTTGAATGTTCTCCCCGTGTCTGTGTGGGTTTCCTCCCACAGATGTGCAGGTTAGGTTAGATTGGCCATGCTATATTGCCCCATAGAGTCTAGGGTGGAAAATGCAGGGATAGGGTAAGGAGTGGGTCTGGATGGGATGCTCTCCAAAGGGTTGGTGTGGACTCGGTGGGCTGAAATGGCCTGCTTCCACACTGTAGGGATTCAATTCCGTTATATCAAGTTGGAACATTGGAAGTAACTTAAAAATGTGTGGCCAGCTCTCACTGAACCAGATTTCAGGGGTTTGGTTTTTTCAGTAACTCTCAGAAGCTGCTGGGGTCTCAAAACAGTTGGAAGCTTCATTAAGTGTCTCCTGGCTGAATTTTCTCTGGATGTTTCTTCCTCTTGGATTGGATAACTGCATGTAAGAATCTGCAGAGATAGTAGGAACTGCAGATGCTGGAGAATCTGAGATAACAAGGTGTAGAGCTGAATGAACACAGCAGGCCAAGCAGCATCAGAGGAACAGGAAGGCTGACGTTTCGGGCCT